TCCGTTGACTCACCTTCGATATTTTTAACCCCTACAGACCATGCTGAATTACGTGCGCCAATTTTTCAAAATCAGGGTAGTTTTCCGCACGCTTTATCTATGAAACGAAGTCGGTGACTCCCAAATTTTTGGCATTTCTGACACAAGTAACTCATTATCTGATAGCAGTAAAAATTTAAAAAACTATCGACTGTAACATTTTCGCGCGAACGTCCTTAATAATTTGCCTGGAAATTTTTACTCACAGAAGGTCCAGTCGAAATCTTGACAGATCTCTACGTTGAATCATTTGGAAATATAGAAGAGGCAGACATGGTAGGTCAGGTGTATGAGAAATAAAATCAACTATTAAAAGTATATTAGGATAAACTCTCGATTGTTTAAGCCTGGTTTTCACCAGCAACGCAAGTACAAGCGCAAGCACAAACGCAAGCAATAGGGATGACCCGAATGAGAACGAAATTCGACGCAAACACAAGCAAAATCATCCGAGCCTTCCGCCGTTTTGGAAAACTGTTTAGGCGCGAGGTAATCTGCATCCAGCGTTTTCATTGGGCAAACATAACCATGTGTGGTAAATATCCTTGTGCTTGTGTTATGCCTGAGCGGTATTTCGTTTTCACTTGTTGCAGCGCAAACGCAAGGTTAAGTGCAAACATAAGAAAAAAGGAAAAATTTTGATCCTTGTGCTTGTGTTTGCGCTTGTGCTTATGCCTGCGTCAGGGCTGTTTTCACGGTGAAATAAGAATTATTGTGTTTACGCTTGTGCTTGCGCTTGTGCTCACGTCACTAGTGAAAGCCAGGCTTTAAAAGCCTTTCCACCGAAATGGCAAAGAAAATATCACTTTTAAATAACAGAATAAATTATGATTTACTAAAGCATGGCATAAGAAGTATAACTTGAGATGACTTATTGCACAGCCATTAACAACCTTCCTGAAAATCTTCGATTACCACACAAGCAATAAACTTCTGAGTGTTCGAGATTGTACTCAGGGTTTCTCTCCTGGGAACGACGACGATGAATTGTAAGTCAATGTAAATTATTCATTCGTTCAAGGACGGGTAAATAGTATAATGAGAACAGAAATGATTTATTTCTGTTGTAGGAATTTAAAGTATTTGGTTATTTGCGACAGCAGTGGAAAGATGACAGACTCACTGGAAAGCTTGACAAGGCAATTACCATAAAAGGAGAGAACATCAATCGACTCTGGTTACCAGATCCCTTTTGTTACAACGCACGTGATTCAAACTTAATGCAACCAGATTCTACAGTGCACAGCAAAGTGTCTATTGATGTCCAGGGAAATGTGCTTTACACCAAAGGGTCTGTGTTATTGTCGTGATGTCGCCGACTGTTACAAAAAATAGAGTAATATTCAACCTCGGGTATTGTTATTCCGACATGATAATAAGTTATGGGGAATTGCTCTGGAATGGGGCAAGCCTAAAACCAGGCGTAAATAGAAGCGGACAGCTAGATCAAGCTCAACTTACTCTTTGAGTGGGAGGGTTCGTCGCCAACCTCTTAGCTTTCGTGGCCTCTAGTAGAGTGGTGAGGTGGAACACGCAAATCATTTATACTGTCACTATGATAATGCAACGTGAGTTTGCATAGCCTGTCTTTTACGGCTTATTGTTCAGATCTTGAAACAAAATAATTTTTTATCATTATTATTCACAGTCGTGTTTAAGCTTGGGTTAATTATTGTTCAAGATATATAATCTATTAACTGACTTTTTACGAAGCACAAGATTACTTACGAAATGAAATAAATAAAGGCTGAGAGCCAACCTTGAGCTTGGAAAGGAATGAAAAGAATTTAAAAAAGCAAATTTGAATAATTTGTTTCAAACTTTTGAAGATGCTAAATCTACGGTTACCTTTTAATTCTTTATCAGAGTACATAGTAATTCAACTGCTCCTGCATGAAATTAAAGTCAAGAATGAGGTTTTATAACCTAATAATATTCTGATCAGAGACGTATTTACAAGAATTTACTTTTTTTCCAGGGTGACTTTCTTAGCATCTTGTGAACTGGATCTTCGTCATTTCCCATTTGACTCGCAAGAGTGTTTTCTTAAAATTGGAAGCTGTAAGTGCTTATTTCGCAATAACACAATTCTTAATGATGTTGTTAGTGTAATGACAATCGTTTCACTCATACGGTCTTGTCCATGTTTGTCCCTCGTCATGAAGTCATTGTAAAGTTGAACGTACTCAATGCATACATTTTCAGCTTTTTTAAAGCATATATATGCTTTGATAGAAAACATCAGTAAAAATTAATGCACTTATGGCTAAAAATGAGGTCAAACAATTTGTTTACTAAACTAAGAGGAACATATCTATAGTATTTGCTATATAAGTAAACCAATCACAGTGTCCCTAAAGAATTATCCACTGCACTTGATTTCAACACGATACATGTTCATTTTATTTACAGGTAATGTTATTTAATAAATTCGAACACACTAGACGAGCTTATTTCTTTTTTTCTTTAAACAAGATGCTTATACAACTGAGGATATTATTTACAAATGGAAATACAAAGTTGTGAAAGTAGAGGCGACTCAGATGGCACAATTTGACTACAAGGGGGCCTCATTGTCGACGTCTGTGGACATGTACAAAATAGGTAAATCTTACATTTTTGATTCGTATTATTGTAGATCTATGTAAGAGCCAGTATGAAAGAGCGTTGTTTGGGCATTGCCTTCTATGATCTGGTAGTCTGAGTTCAATAAAAATCTCCCCTGCGTTTGTTCTTCGTCAGGTTCTCATAAATTTAACCCCTCGTCTATGCTTAAAACAATTGCTCCGCCTCTTGCCATCCTGGTATCTTAAACTCTCATTGTCTTTCAATTCCTTGGAATTATTAGCTTCATCTGTTGGAGGAGGATGTCGGTAGCCTAGCCTGGAGTTAACTACGCATGCATGCCCACTACGATGAAAAATAAATTATTATACTTAAGCATGAAAGCTATTCGCAACAAAAATAGTTAAGCTTGCTGTTAAAAATAAAAATGATAAATCACTTTATTACCGGTATTTAGCACAGCTGTGCTAATTGGGGGCACTATAAATGTTGTAAACAGAACATAAAAACTTGTTAAAAATCCCAGCTGTTTGGAGGATTACCAGATAGCTATTTACAAGCCGTGGAGGAGTTGAGTTCGGAGCCACCCTATGCAAATCTATCTAGTGGCAGGGAGGAGGATTTGAGCCAGGAGCTTCCGGATTACAAATCCAGCGCCCTAACCACTACGCCTAGCGACTCAATTTCTAAATTGACACGGACAGGGCTGAGCGAGTTAACTCTGGGTTTATTTCAGGAAACTTCTCCACCATAATAGTGACGTATTTCTTCAAACGTCGTATGGGATATTATCTCATCCAAGTCTACCTTCCCGACATTTTCGTCGTAGCTCTAAGCTGGATTGTTTTCTGGATGGACAAAACAGACATGGGAAACAGAATGGCGCTGGGAATCACCACCATTCTGACCATCATGTTTCTTCTTGGATCTATCAATGGCACCATGCCTAAAGTCAGCTATCCCAAGGCGTTGGACTGGTACCTAATGGTTTCGTTTGTCTTTGCATTCTTTTCCCTGGTAGAATGTTTGATCGTGTTTGTCGTTTGGACAAGTGGTAACAAGAGAAGGGCGATGAAGGTTTGTGTATATATATACACAAATTGTATAATTATACATAATTATGTGCTTAATTATACGTAATTATATTGTATAATTATACATTTTACTTGTGACTTCGTTGTTCATTCTTATATTTTAATATTAGGTAGTTCTTAATCTTAATTTATTTAAATTTAAATACCTTCATAAGGCTCTTATAATTTCTTTTTTCTGTTTTTTTCGTGGCGTACCTGTAAAGTAGCTTTTTAGCTAAGTGTACCGACCACGTTAAATATATTGATTGATTGATTGATTGATTGATTGATTGATTGATTGATTGATTGATTGATTGATTGATTGATATATTGATTGTATACAGACGCTCGCTATCACGGACAACATCCAGATCCCCAGCGAAAGCTGTAGAGGTTTGACTGGAAATGACTCCCGCAATTATGGACTCTTACTATTACGGAATTACGGGCACTTTCGTAGTACCAAAATGACAATTTTATTGTTTTGACTCTCGTGACACTCTCGTGTTTCTCATATAACATAATTATGTAAAATTACAGTCTGCTGTTCATCATTTGTCAAAATACACTTCAAAAGACTTCTGGAATGTTTATTTTCACATCAATTTTTTTTTTGTCTGCACAATAGTCCTTGCTTCATAGACATTGTCTTTGTTATTTATTAAATGTTAAGGGAAATTTTTATCTCACACCCCGCTGTTACGGACCCTCGCTATAGATATTACGGACACTAAACGACGGCCCCGTGCGTGTCCGCTATAACGAGAGTTGACTGTATCTTGCCTTTTCTGTTGTCGTTGTTGTTTTTGCTGTTATTGTTGTTGTTGTTGTTTGTTTATGACTCTTTCATCATGGTACGCAATAAGACCTCTGGGTTACTCCTTCTAGTGGATTCCCATTGTTTGTTAACCACAAGTGTAAGATCTAATGCGATTAGCACCCTCCATTGATTGAGCGCTTCAGTCCGTTTGAAGGCCCTCTTCTGAAAATCGAGCGTTCCTATCCAGTGTTCCTATTCCGTTGATAAAAGATATCTGTAGAATTTTAACCACTTCGAGCCTGAGTATACAAATCCTATTATAATCATCACATTGAGTAACATGTATTGAACGATTTGCCTTCAATATTCTATCAATCAATAAAACGCTATTGCTGGCTTATGACAGCGATAAAAGAAAATAACGAATAAAGTAATTGCCACTTCCTGGATGTCGCTCGTCCATATCTCCAATAAACGTAGTCGTTAGAGTTACAAAATTGAATAAGTTTCCTACGCGCTAATATAAATAATCGACTCTTCAGGTAATTATTTTCCTTCCTTTTTACAAAAGGAGACAACTTCTGCAAGTAATAAGTCATCGTCAGACGAGAAGGTGACATTCCATTCCTGCAAACATGACGTTACTTCTTCGATTGGACATAAAGACAACGAACATCAAGGCAACAAGGTTATCAGAAGTATCTCAAACACTGAAATTGCAGCTTGTGAGGACAGTTCATTCCTAGGACATAAAAAGCCTTACAGACTGGATAATGCACCTGATTTAATCGACAAAGTATCACGGGCGTTGTTCCCGCTTATCTTCTTAATTTTTAACATTGGATATTGGAGTTATTATACTGATGCAAATTAAAAATACCACATACAATGTATTACCTATGGACCGTCAGTTAAATACATTAAATACAAATATTAAATGCATCATTATTTCTCGAATGCAATGTTAGTCGCTTCATTTAGCTATCATTCTCTTTTTCTGTTAGTACTCAAGTCTGATTTGGTTTTCACGTACGCCTTCTTTGTTATTAGAAGTCATGCTTTAGATTATTTATTTAAAATTTTAGGTCACAAACGTGTCGGAAAATAAAAGCAGCCTGGAAGAAGGCTCTCTTGCTTGGTGTTGTACTTCAGCGGCGAAGCTGGAGAGAGGAGATCCTGTAAGAGGGACTGGTTGAGTTACAATTCCCACCTCTTGAGAGTTAAGGCTGATTTTACTTGCACTATTCGCAGTAGAATGCTTCAAGTAGCGGCTTTAATTAGAACATTTTGCAAACAAAACCCGGGTCCTGATTAATAATATCTTACTTCATCTGCATATGTCGACTTATGCTTATGCTTATGCGCCAGTGAAAACAAGCCTTAATTGACATAAACAAGAGCCACTTCTCACAGACCTCTGTAAATAGAAATGGAAGCATCATCTTAAACGCCGGCAGCAAAATTCATCATGGACTTGTAATTAACGCGCGATTCATTTTTCTCAAGATATTAATCCCGCCACACGCGAAGACGTGTAGAGCAGCTGGAAAGCAATGGCATAATAACATACGGTCCCTGCATTTGCATTTTACAAAAGGAGCCTTTTTAATCTTCTTTTTGAAAAGCGTTGCATCACAGGAGGCAAAATAACAACATAGAGACTCGTTTTTATTTCATACTCCATCAGACCGAAGATTCTTGAATACGTACCCTCAACCCTTGTAAAGAGAGCACGGGATACTGAGGTAGGTTTTGCCGCATATCCTTAACAATCTAGTATAAAATATTTGCTAGTATCCGTTCTTGAAGTCTTGAATACGAATTTGATTCAATTAAGTTTCCTTCGCGGCTATTTTCGCTGTAATTATTACTAAAGCAGTGGTTTTACTTACCTTGATGCGAACCAGAGGAGTAATTTTAGGCTTCGAACCGGGCTTCAATTACAATGTTTTTTTGACAAACGTCTGGCCTAGCGCTATCATTACCTGGTAATAAGTCACTGAAATCATGGAAAGGGCCCAATTTTTTTTTTGTTTATGTTGCAGTCGCGCTAATTATCCATTTTTATAAGCTGTGGGCAAATGTTTCGCAGTCGAGTTAAATTTCACAAGGGATGTTAAACGTTGACTGTAGAGGAAAATTGTCGAAGAAGAGAATCAGTAACAACGCTTCAACGCAAACTAGAAAAAAGAGTAGTTTTATCACGGATCATGTTAGACAGGGCAACAACAGATAATTCCTGGCGAAATTTGCACAAATTTCCCAGGCCTGCACAACTTCTAACAATGGAAACTTTTGTACCATGTAATATATGAACCCTTTATAGTTTTGCTCTTACAAAAATCGAACAAATTTCTTGACGTGCTTAATATCTATCATGATAAAACCGTCATTACGTTACACGTGAAAACTACATCAAGTTGCAAGATTAAACTTATTTACATGTAGAGCTTTAAAAAGAAATATAGCACAGTATGAAAAATGTTGAAAATTTGCCAGAAACAACATTAATCCTAATATTACGTACTCTCATTACTAGACGAGCACCATGTAAATTTCGCTTCTCAGTGGGTGTCTATGCACATGATTTTGTTAATGGCTTCTTTTGAACCTTCTTCTTTCGCCCGTCATGATTGATTCTTTTGGCCAGATTAAGGAAAAATTTCAAGCATTGTCAATGCAACAGGCTAGTTAGGAAAACGCTTGTCGCAATTAAATCTCTCACATTTAAAAGCCGAAGAGAGAAGTAGAGAATTCAAAGAGAAAAACAACTAAATAGATGCTAGTGAATCTCGGAATCAACTCTCCTAAGGTTAGAAAAAGATCTTAGAAACATCGGTCTTGGACAAGATTATAATCACTTTTTTCCCTTTTCCAGAGTTTTTTCATTAGTCATTTTTCCTGAAGATCAGACACAGTGCCTCGTCTATAATAGCTTTGAAACACACCTGAAAAAAGCTGGTTGCACTGTATGAAAAATTACATTGTAACCCTACATAGCTTTCAGAAGCTAACTAAAAAACATTGAAGTTTCTTTAGCCTCAAGGCTCCAATTAAAGGTTACTTTGCCCACCGTTTTGTTTAATCGACCTCTAATGTTTATCATACTTCTCATGTAATTGATGTCAGAGTGGGTCAATAGAGATTATTGTATTATTGTATTAAAATTAACTCTAAATAGCTTTTAGGGGCTAACTCGAAATCCTTGGGGTTCAAATAGCCTCTATGCTCCAATTAACATTTACCTTCCTTATTATTTTGTTAAATCAACCTGCAATGGGTATAATACTTTTCATGTAATTAGTGTAAGTATGGGTCAATTGAGGTTATTGTTTTATTGTATTCTTTTGTGTTGACGCCTAATTTAAATCTACAGTCAAATAGATTGTACACGAAATTAAGTTCCTACAGTCATCCAGTCAGTCAGGGCAGTCACCAAGTTGGATTCAAGGAATTCAGTGAGGCATTTTAAAGCGGTATTGATTCACGGTTTAAGAATTACAGTAGCTAGTTTAGTGCTGTGTTAATACTCCTTGTTCACCATCTCCAGCTGAGCACAGAATGAAGGTTTTAGGCCTGAATTCTTTTGGGATCTGCTTGTCGCTTGCCAGGTGAGTCATTGTTTGGTAATAGGTGCATATGCCAGTTTACATGAACTAGAGTTCGTTGTTTTTATTTCGGAGTTACGTTTCGTTTCGCTCATTTGCTTTTGTTGTCGCTACATGGAGGTGTTTTCAACTGAGTGTCCAGGGTGAGCTGGAGTGGCCTTGGTTTTGCTTTCATTTTCTGCTATCAGTAATCTTTTTTTTTTCTTTTTTTTTTAAATAATAACCGCACTACACTTTCAACCAGATGATTGAATGCAAACCAAAACCGATTAATGATTTCATCATGTGAGTTTTCCTGAACCTGTTAGCTCAAGTTTTCTTTCTTCAGTTGTGTGTTTCTTTGTTTGTTTTGTTTTTGACCTTTTTCGTGGTTTTCGGGTTTTAAGGTAGTCAATTAAAAAACTCCTCGATATATAAATGTTACAGCTGCTTTTTTTTTAATACAAAAAAACGGAAGGTAAAGTGGATTAAGTCGTTCAAGGTCAGCGACGCGGGATGCCAAATTACACTGCTGCTGACTGTTTCACTGGCAACGTCTAAACGGCACCTTTTTGTTCCGCCTGCTCTTAAATTGTTGCGTACAACACTGCACGCAGCATCGTGCGCGATGCTTCATTCTAGGAATCACTTTTCTTACTTTAGCAGATTACACCACAAACGTCAAATAGGCCTCACCATCGACAACATCGCGCATAAAACACGGCACAACGATCACCCATTTCCCACTCTCTGTATTCGTTGTCCAACACAAACACGAAATCCTGATGCATGTGTTATTTTTAAGATTTCTTCATCGAGAGTAAACGTGCCTAATAACATTTTTATTGTTATTTATATTTCTCTTGACTACCTTAAGGCATAACTGACATCATAACTTGCTTTATGCACCACAAATAACGATATAATCCCCCTCGCCTCTCACCGAGCAGAAAGAAGAGAATCTCCGTCTAGCTCGTTGGTATAGTCTTAACAACTATGCGTGAGAATCTGCCTGAAGGTGTCTCTTTATACACAAAATTTACGAATAAGTAATTTCTTGAGGTTGCGAAGAAATGACAGCTAACACTTCCTAACAAGTTTTTGTTTTTCTTTCATATCCCCAGCTTTGTTACCGCAATAGGCTCCAGCTCATTAAAGAACACGCTAGTTGCTGATTATGATGAAACGTTAAGCCCTGGATTCTATGGAGGTAATGTAACTCTAACGTCAATGCGGACTGACAGACATCGCGGTTAAGGACGTTCGCGCTAATTGTCTCTGCGCATCCTTACTGCGCAAGCAAATTCACATGCCGCGCGTCGTACATCGAGCGCACGCTATAGGGTAGATGGCCATTGCTATAGCTTTGCCTGGATATAACGATCTTGGAAGTTCGGTGAACCCTATTTTTCTTTCGATGGATCATTTTCTCTACCGATTTTCTACGTTTAGCGAAAAAATGAAGAAAATCTACCATTAGAAGTCGGAATTTTTTGCAAAATGCACCATCGAATTCCGTTCTTTTTAGCTCTTCGTTTATCTGTGCGGTGGTTTCAAATGCCTCTTGAAGGGTTAGGTTTTCTGAAAACGTTGGCAACATTTGGAATCATTTACGCAACAGACCCACTTCTGCAGAATATGACTAAGATCGCTTACCTTCGTTTTACTTCTGTAGACCATGCTGAATTACGTGCGCTAATTTTTCAAAATTAGGGTAGTTTCCACACACTCTATCTCTGAAACGAAGTCGGTGCCCCTCAATTTGTTTTGCATGTATGACACAAGTAACTCACTATCTGACTGCAGTAAAAATCTAAAAAAATCTATTGCATGTCACTGCAAAATTTTCGCGCGAACGTCCTTAATTGACCTTACAGAAACACATTTCGATTTGAACTAAACATGAATTTTGTTATGATATGGGCATAAAATTGGCCAAAAAAAACAAGTGGTTAATGGAGACTTGTTCGCCACATCTTTTTTCAGACTCACCTGTGGAAGTGTTGGTTCAGCTCCTTGTGGAATCATTTGGAAATATTCACGAGGCCGACATGGTAAGAGCGCCACAACTGTTGTTAATTTAATTTTAATGTATGCAATATCAAAACAGGAACACCCCCTGCCCTGTCATGTATGCAAATACAGCAAAACGTCCCTGACCTGAATTCTAAAGCTAAGCGCATTTTTAAGGGTATTATGATTTTTTTCAAACGTGGTCAATGCTTGCTCATTGCAAAACATGTCGACGTCAATAAAATTAGCAGAAAATCCTCGTTCACATGAACTGAACTAGTGAAACTAAATCAAGTTTTTGATTTTGCTAATTTGTCGCTTACGCTTTGCAGTCATATTGAGAAGACAAAATTCAAACCACCTTGCTACCATATTTAATCAAACAGGTTTTTACCTGGTTTAGTTGTGGGGTGTGCACGGTATGAGCAACTAATTTTTAACCTTGTTTAGTTAAACCACATTAAAATATGTTTAATTTATCGGTGTGAACGGGGTTTAAGGTTAAGTAATGCCATAATTTACTTCATGCAATGCTGAGATAGAGGCCTTCTTAAACTTTCGTGAAACACCGATGTCTTCACATTCAACGTTGCAATGCCACAATTGGACTGTTTCAGCAACATTTGGTTCAACCAATTCTAAAACAAGGTGCTACACTATTCTAATCGAATTAAGCTTTCTTGACAATAAAAATCATACTATTCTTAGGAATTCCAGGTCTTCTCGTACTTTATCCAAAGCTGGACGGATAATAGACTGGCAGGGAAATTAAATCGAAGCATTACCCTTAAAGGGGGTGATATCGACCTCGTATGGACCCCTGACGCATACTGTTACAACGCTCGTGCGACAAATCTAATGTTACCGAACTTGGAAACGCATAGCAAAGTCTCTATCAGTCCTGAAGGTGATCTTGTCTACAGCAGGGGGTAAGCATCAGTTGTCTTAAACATAGTTAATAGCGGGAGTGGTTAAGAAGTCCGGTAAGCATCAAAGAAACAAACAAACAGGCTGATATTTATGTTGGAAGGTCCTGGACCCTGCACATCTTTTGTTTTATGCTCATAGGCCATGCATGAATTACATAATCACATTGCTTCTATACATATATTGGTGGGTTGTATAAGCACACATAACCACCTTTTGTATTATGCCAGGTTTTGTGCAGGGTCAACCCCCAAAATAGCCAACAAACACCTACAACAAGACCAAAGTCAAGTTTCAACATCCCTCTATTAACTATCCGTCTATTAACTATGCTTTAAAAAATACGAAAAAGTTTAAAACTACAACTGACTTTCAATGTGAAGCAACGACCTTTTGCACGCGTAACAAGTGAAATCGGAATGTTTCTATGGTTACTGCCATATCGTTCCTCAAAAATATGTTTCCAGACCTAACGAGCGACTGTCGAGAGTTCCGTTGCATGATCGATTTTGATTGGTTTTAAAAACAATGAAAATGAGCGGAAGTGAGACCACCCCCGATTCGATTGAGCGACGTGTTTTACCGCTAGGCATGTGCAATTCAACCGCATGTCCAATGTTTTCGGACTTCCAATGTGAACTTTACGGGATCGCCATTTTTCCGACCGCTGGTCACGAGAAACGAAGACTTTGGGTACGAGGTTAGGTTTATGGGCACACCCATTTTGACGTGCAAGTCCTTCCGACTCGCGCTGTCGGTCTAGTAGCTATACCCATAATCGTGGAAAAATATCCTTGGGACACTTATGTAATGTAACAAATTATCTGTGTTTTACAACTGAAGTTTGAAAAAGCGCTGCTATCCTTTTAAAAACGTGTTGCTGTTCCCCTCCCCGCCCAATACAACGTTGAAAATCAGGTGAAATTGCAGGTTCAACATTGTATGGGGGGTGGGGGGTAGGGGATGAGGTTAGACAGGTGAAGTTGTATTCGTGTCTGGCGTGTGCGCAAAAGCGCCAAAAGTGCAAATTTGTCCCAAGACATTTGTTCATGATTGCAGTTTTCTCTATGCAACATGCGTGCATACGTAAAGATTCTATTCGTATGAATAAGTACAGAATTATTTCATATTATGTATTATGATTATGTATATAGTTGTGCTTTCTTAAACTTTAAGCCAGATACACGATTTCACAAGCAAACCTGTTGCTTAAAAAAATCGTGTTTAAATAAAGGATTGCTGCTGCTGTTGTTGTTGTGGTTATGACCTTCAGTGTGTTATCTTTCAGAGTGTCATTCACTGCATCTTGTGTGATGGATCTGCGCAGTTTTCCCCACGACAGTCAAACGTGTCATTTAAAGTTTGGAAGCTGTAAGTATCGAACGATAACATCGATTATTCTGTTCATTACGCTGGGGGAGGGGTATTCTACTAAGTTTCATAAGGGGAGCTCACCACATTTTCATGTGCTGCCTGATAA